CTTCCAAAATCTACATTCCAAAATTCAATATCTCCCTTTGGACTCATTTCCAAATATTGCCCTCGGTTCCGATAATACCAAATCCCCATTTTGAATCCCTTCGTCGACTCCTCCCTCTTCCCCAAATCCAAAAATAACCGAGTCCACCTTGAATCTATTCCTTGGCTCCTCCGTATTTCGCTAAGTTCAAATATGCAATTTGAATTCAAACCTAAACTCCAATTCTCTCCAATTCAATTCCTCTGTAGAAGTCTATTTTGCCTCCTCCTAATTTTGGATGGGCCGAATCCCCCTCCCTTCGGCCCATCTCCTCTCTCAGCCGTTTCCCTTCCTCCCCTCGCACGTGCGTCGCGCGTGCGCCGCGCTCGAGAAAGAGAGCGCTCGCTCTCTTCTCTTCCTCTCTCTTTCGCCTAATTTTCTCCCTCTCTCTCTCTCTCTCGTCGCTCCCCGCCAGCGCCTCGCCGATTCAAACCACCACCGCCGCTTTGCCGATTCCTGTCGCCGCCATTCGATTTTTGCCGCCGCCCGTCGGTTTCCCGCGTGTGGCCAGTCGCCCGGTCGCCGCCCGTGCCCGCGCTGCCGCCCGGTCCCGTTGCTCCACGCCGCGTGCTTCCAAAACCGAGAGGCAGAGCGCTTCTCTCACGTGCTCTCCCTCTTCCCTCTACTCGCCCAAATCGGCAAGGAGCAGAGCTCCCTTTTCCCCTCCCTTTTCTGCTTTTTCCCCTGACCACCACCGTCATGCCCTGTCGCCGCCTGGTCACTTGCGCCCGTGACCGCCAGCTCGTGGTCCTTGCACCCTTGACCGCCCTATGTCGGTTCCCCCTCCCAAACCGCCTCTTCTCCATCTATAAAGCCCTGGCCGAGCCTCCCCATCTCATTCTCTCTCGGCATCTCTCTTCCACGGCCGCCGCACCATTGTTGCCGCCTTGCAGCTGACGACCTCGCCTCCCTTCGCCATCACGCGTGTTGGTGAAGCCAGCGTGCGCGCGAGGAGCCGAAGAGGACTCCGGGCACCCTCCTTCTTCCCCTTCCCCGGCCCGAGGCCGGAGAGCCCGCCCCGCGCCGTCGGCCATCTCCCAGCGCCCGTCCTGACCCGGCAGCCTTCCGTTCCCCTTCCTCGCTCTCTCTCGCCACCTCCAGCTCACGTGGTAGCTCGGCTAGCCTCTCGAACGCGCACAGATGAAGCCCCAAGCCCCGCCGCCGCCCGGCATGGCCTCGCCGCCATTGCCGCCCGCTCCCAGAGGTAGCTCGCCATCGTCGGCCTACCTCGGAGGTCCATTGCCCATCCTACGCCGGGAACGGATTCCCCGAGCCCCGGAGATGCTCCCGCCGCCCTCAATCGATCCCTCGTCGACCGCCGCCGTTTCCCCTCTTTGCTCGCCGCCGGCATGCGCCGCCGCGATTCGTCGCCGCCAGCCACCCTCCGGTGAATCCGGACAAGTGGTTCGCTCCCTCTTGTCCCTCCCTTCACTCCGGTGTCCTCACCCTCTCTTGAATCCCCATGAACCGCTCTGCCGAACGCCGTCGCCGTCCGCCGTCGGATGCCGGCACCCCCTTCTTCCTCCTCCCGCTGGACCGTGTGGCTGCCACGTAGGCGCCACGTCGGCGCCACATCGGCCGCGACCGGGTCAAGCACCCAGTCAGCCGCCCCCACCGCCCTTTCTTCCGTGCGCGCGGTCCACGGAGAGCCCTTAGGCTGCGCGTGGGCACGCCACCTCTTGGTCCACCCGCGTGCCGCGCCATGAGCCGCGTCCGCAAAACCCTAGCGCCCCGCGCCGCATGAACCCTTCCCCGTGCACCGAGTCGCTGACTCGTGGGCCCGTCCCTGGACCCGGCACGATGGATCCGGTCCACCCGAACCCCTCCCCCTCTCTCTCCCGCACACCCCCTTGGGCCGCCTCTCCAGGCCGGCCGGCCCATTAGAACGGCCGAGCCGTGCCTCTCCTCTCGGGCCGCGCCCAAGCCGCTCGAGGAAGTCTAAATCACATCCCTCCTTCAATTTTCCTTCCAAAAAGGTTTTAATAAATTATTAAATCATTTTTCCTTTGATTAGAAAATCCAATAAACTTCGAAAATCCATATCTTCTCAACCGCTCGTCCGATTGACCCTGTTCTACTTCCAGTAATTCCGTAAAATTGAGATCTATCTAATGGCACTATTATTTATTCTAAATAGGATCTTTTTCTTGGTCTTTTGTTTAGATTTTGATTGTTTGCGTATAGTTGCGGTTACCGAATTTTCGTCGATCGCGGGTTTTCTCGAAGATTCGTGAAGCTTCCTGAAGACCTTGAGCAAGGCAAGTCACCCTTTGAACAATTGCTCCTATAATTGGAAAATCATTATTATTTTGTTTGTAACTTGCATTATTAGAATCACACACTTAATTTGCTTGGCCTCGGTTTGCGTGCCAAACCGACGGACCTACCCATTAGTTGCACTAATTCCTGTAGGCTGTACTACCGTGATTCCTTGTCGCTCCACCCTTGTGGTACTACGGTATCCGTGCTCTCTGAGCGCGTATACCAAAATATCCCACATAAACCGTTGATTGTCGAGAATTTGGGAAATGGGTATGAGAAGCTGAAAACCCGACATGTGGTGTCGGCGTGTTTGAAAACAAAATGAATTTGTGAAAAATCGCGATGCGGGTGTTGTGCCTGGGTGGCGCCGTCCCGTATTCGCATATAAGGACCGATTCCTGTGGGAAATTCATCAAGCATAAGAAGTGCAACCACATGGTGGTATGGGACACCCTCGCTAAGTAATTAGCTGCTTTTGGGAAATCTTGTATGCCAATAGAGGCAGAAAGCCGGGATGTGGGGGTAGAGGCATCCTGGGAGTCCGAAACAAAGGAAGGCACCCGGGAGTCCTAAGGGAAAGCCGGAGTTGGCCCGATGTTGGTCAGGGAGACCCTCTATGTGGCATGAGGTGACCCAGAGTTAGCTTTGGAAATGCCTTGTCGTGAATCTCCCTTTTCCAGCCGTGCGTCATGAACACGGGTTAGGTGATGGGAGCAAGTTCGTGTTGTGTGGGTAAAGTGTACCCCTATGTAGAGGTTAATTAACTGTTCGAACAGCCGTGCCCACGGTCATGGGCGGATGTGAGGTGTTTCCCGTTGCGTAGATTTGTTTGCCTGTGCTTTGTGAAAAGTTGTTGTGGAATGGGAATCGTCACCAGAATCAGCCTATGTGGCAAATGGATGACCTGAGTGGTTAGAAATGAATCTGTGTGATTCGGGATGTCTGCGAGGCATCATAGACTAGGCTTCCCGAGTGGAAGCAGATTGTTGTGCTACCGGGTAGCTAGACTTTGGGAGTCCGAGAAAATGAAAAAGGCTCTGGGAGCCGATTAATCAAGTGAAATGGCTCTGGGAGCCGAGAAGTAATGATCTGACCCGGGAGGTCGGTACATTACCATTTGAGTTGTTGAAAAGCATCTCTTAAAGTTGAATCGAGAAGCAAGTCTCTTTTCGACCCAAAACCTGAAAAGAAATAATCACTTAGTGATTCCAAAATGATTTCAAACAAAACATTTGCAAAACAACCTCGCCTCTCTTCCAAGCTTGCATTAAACACCTAAATTCCCGTGACTTGCTGAGTACGAAAGTACACACCTTTGCTCTATATAAATATATATAGTTCCTCTGCCTTGAAGTGAAGATGAAGTTAAGTGAAGATTAGGGTTTCGTCCTGGTTCCCAGCCGTCGCCTGTGGTGTTGGGTGTTAGACCGTTGGTTCCACTGCTGCTGCTGTTGTTGGTGTTTCCTCGTCTGCGTCGTCGGTTGCATTCTCAGGCTGTTTTGAGTTGCAACCTAAGTTAAGGTTAATAAGTCCTCTATTTATTTTAAGGATTGCAATGATTCATATTTGTCACCGTGGGTACCAGCGCTATGTCCTGGGATTGGTACTGAGATCGTGGTTTTGTAGGAAGCGGTTTGCGCCGTTTTCCCTACGACACGCTCCTGTCAGGTGCCGTTGTACGGCGGTGCCGGATCGGCGTGTGACAGACCGACGGCAGGCAGGCGGTGTGACCGGCGGCGACAGGGCTTCGACGTTTACTCCATTCGAGGGTAATCTTTAAGGGAGTAGCTATATTTATGGCGCGATATTTTTCACCAAAAAATAGTCGGCATATATTTATATTGTAAGTCCCTAAATTACATATGTAATTTTAGTGTATTTACATGTCGCAAAATTACATATGTAAATCCTAAAATTACATACTAATTATATATGTCAGTGGTGTGTAAGTGAGGTGTAACTACTATAGTTACATAGGAATTACACGTGTAACTGCAGTGTAATTTCACTATAATTATATGTAACTGCAGTGTAATTAAAGCCAGACATTGACGGTGAGCTCCCTATCTTCCCTGGCTTCTCCTTTTCTTATCCTTTTTGCCTGCCATCTGTGCATGGCATCTTGGTTTTTTAATCTGTAATGATGAGAGATTAGAGATTAGTATAGCAATAGTAGTTATGATGGCATTAGCAGTCTCAGACATGCACAAATCTCTAAACTAATTGCACGGTGAAAAAATCGACTGTAAACTGGGAAGGAATATAGTGCAGAATTGCTATAAATATGACGCAATATTCCTCGGAATTTCTATAAATATGACGCTATATTCATTCCCAGACAGTCAATTTTTTCACCGTGCAATTAGTTCAGAGATTCATGCATGTCCGAGACTGCTAATGCCATCGTAACTAACCGCAAAAGATTTTTGGGTTTTTGATTTTCCCTACCATTCACCCTTCTTTGGTAGTTTTGTTTGGTCTTGTGTGATCCTACAATTTACTATTCAATTAAAACGGTATTACCGTTCCATAGTATTTCTGTTGTATAATAGGAGAATTTGCATCGCAGATGATCCCGTTTACTAGGGAGAAGCCTACGCTTCTCATCACGAGGCAGGCAGGAGGTGATCATAGCAATTAAGAACATTTAATGCAACTGCGTTATTATAATGCAGCCATGTTAATCTCCTCCAGCACATGCGCTCTTGTTTAATCGTCGTCTTCCCCATTGGCCATGTGGGTGTCCCTCTCCATGGAATCCATGGCGCAGCTCAGCTCCCATATAATCCATGGCGCACACTGTCTTGCCAGTTGCCACATTAATTCAGCATCCCTCTGCTTAATTGCTTCGTAGCATACCAAGTAGTAGTGGTAGCAGCAGCAGCAGCAGCAAGTAGCACCTGTGCTTACTCGCCATGGCTATGGTGGCCGGCGACGAGGCGATGTCAGTGCCATGGCACGACGTCGGCGTCGTCGTCGACCCCGAGGCGGCCGGGACGGCGCCGTTCGACGCCGGCGCCGGCTATGTCCCATCGTACGGTCAGTGCCAATACTACTACTACTACGACGACCACCACCACCACCCGTGCAGCACGGAGCTGATCCACGCGGGCGACGCTGGCAGTGCGGTTGCGGTTGCGTACGACGGCGTCGACGGCTGGGTTCACGCCGCCGCCGCAGCCACCTCCCCGTCCTCGTCATCTGCGCTCACCTTCGATGGTCACGGCGCCGAGGAGCACAGCGCAGTGTCGTGGATGGACATGGACATGGACGCGCACGGCGCCGCGCCTCCCCTAATCGGCTACGGCCCGACGGCGGCGACCTCCTCCCCCTCCTCCTGCTTCAGCTCCGGCGGCTCCGGCGACAGCGGCATGGTGATGGTGACCACCACCACCCCGAGGAGCGCCGCCGCCTCTGGTTCGCAGAGGCGGGCACGCCCGCCGCCGTCGCCGTTGCAGGGATCAGAGCTGCACGAGTACTCCAAGAAGCAGCGCGCCAACAACAAGGAGACACAGAGCTCAGCTGCCAAGGTACTACATTACATTGCATCCATGTCGACGATCTATATATGAACCTAATCTTGCAGTGTTCATCAGTTGGATCGAGATGCAAGTTCTCCGACGAATTGAATTGAACTGAACGCATGGTTGTGTTTGTTTGTTTTGACATATGCAGAGCCGGCGGGAGAGGATCAGCGAGCGGCTGAGGGCGCTGCAGGAGCTGGTGCCGAGCGGCGGGAAGGTGGACATGGTGACCATGCTGGACAGGGCCATCAGCTACGTCAAGTTCATGCAGATGCAGCTCAGGGTGCTGGAGACCGACGCGTTCTGGCCGGCGTCCGACGGCGCCACGCCGGACATCTCCCGGGTCAAGGACGCGCTCGACGCCATCATCCTCTCCTCGTCCTCGCCCTCGCAAAAGGCTTCTCCTCCTCGGTCGGGCTAGCAAATATATCGACGAGCTTCCGATCTCCCAAAATCCAAATTACGCTTACTTGCAACTCCGGATGTTGCATTCATTTTGTTCGTCATGCATGTATAATTTCCCGGCTTTGCTATGTAATTAACTACTGTATTACGTCGTGCTAATTAGCTAATGATACATGCTATTTTGCGTTGCTAGATCGATCATTTTCTTCTTCACTAGTCCCTCTATCCCTAAATATAAGATAAATATTTGGCTTATAATTTCTCATATACCATAAAATTTGTAGTAATAAAAGTAAATTAAAATATCAAATCAATAATATTATTTTCAGCAAATAAAATAAAATTTATATTATGCTAATGGTTACCAAATGTTTTAAAAGTTAAATCTTAAAATATGTGGGTGTTTTGTATTACGGGATGGAGGGACTATGTCGGTTCTCAGATAGATAAGTGCTGGAGAAATGGGAATCCGAGTCCCCATCTCTGGCTGCTCGGGGTGCTAAAGATCTCCGGAAGAGGTCACATGGCGCTGCATCCTGCTTGTTACAAATGGAACCAAAAGCTTAGTCCCTTGGTCGAACTGGTTGTGCCATGAGCTTGGGGCGTAAGCACACGACATAATCGTGATTCAACCTACGCCTTCATTCCCTCATGTTCCATAGCCAATCTCGCATTTATTGCAAGGATACAAATCCGTCGGTTGTATACGGGGAGTGATGTACGACAAGACGACACATCCCCACCTTGGAACATGCCATCATCACCCCTAAATGCTAGGGACGTGGACTGTCAGGCGATATGGTTAACTATCATATCACTTAGCCGGGCCCACCATAACCGATGTGTCCACCTCAGTACAGCTAGCAAGTAAGCCCACTAGGCATCACCAGCATCCTAGTAACCTACTCTAAGCCACGCACCGACGCAAGAAGGAGGCGATCGGGCTACCCTGCTACGTACAACGCTAGCTCCACCAAGAAACTCCCTAGCTAGGGATCTCCATGGGCCCTATCTGTCAACATATGAGAAGACTCTTCATACCTAGTTCTCTTATACGGATTACATTTGTAAGTGGCAGCCATTGTGGTACCCCCGAGTAAAATCAGCTATAAGAAGAGGACCAAGACTACAGAGGAAAAGGACCGAAGATTGAACCCTAGTAGTCCTAGCTAGAGAAGTAGCTTCACACACCTTGTAAGAGTTGCTAAAAGAGATTGGGAGAGGAAAGTAGGGTATTACGTTTCCGAGCGGACCAAACCTGTGGCACATAGCTCTCTTCGTGTCACCCAAGCATGAGCTTGTGTTCGTACACCTGCTTCTTTGCCGAATCCACTGAAAGGGTTCCTCCACTCTTGGCTATTGGAGCTCAGGCTCTGACAGTGAGGTATTGAAACGTAGAATTTAATAATAAATCATTAATAATAAACTAAAAGACTAGTAGAATTTAATACGTAGAAAAGGTATTACTCCCTCCGAATGTAATTGCAGCACTAGTAAATGAGAAGGAAAAGAAAGTAACTTGAATTGCATTTTTTTTAAATAGCCTACTTAAACATACTAGGGGAAAGGGAAAAAAATGCTTCGAGGAGAAAGGATTCTAATCACGAGGACTCTAACTTTTTTTCTTAAATTCAACAAAAAATGGTTGTGAAAAATTCAAAAAAAAAATCTAGCAGTGTAGAGTATAGTAGCATCTACCACTCCACCAAAAAAATTATATTCAAATTCAATCTAAATATTGGGAAACAAAAAAGATAAATTCAAATGTTAATAGCACCAATAGTATTCAAATGTTGGATTTTTTTTTAATAATTCAATGTGTAAGTTTGGTTTTGACATGATTTTTTTTGGAGTAGTTTATGTATATGAGATTAATGTTGTCATATTTTTGTAATTTTTAAAAAACAATTTGGATGATGTTTAAACTCTTGAAGGATATCTTGGAGAGTTTAAAACACTTCTATTGCTTAGAGTGTCATTTCTTAAGGATAATAGCTGTCAATGTCCTAACGACCGCCAAAAACTAAATTAGGGGCCCAATTAAAGTTACAATACTATTCATATATCGGATTTATCTTTTTATATCTCCATTTATGAGTTAATTTTGACATGATTTTTTAAGTAGGTTATGCATATGGGATAAATGTTGTCAATTCTTTTATAATATTTAGAGGGAGACTACAAAACGGGGTCCCGTTAGAACGGGATATTTTATGTGGTTCTCCCCTTTCTTTCCGTGAGCTTCCAGGTGAGTTTCCCTGACACATGGTACCTTGGGTACCATCTGGTGGTACCTTTGGTACCGTCTGGGTATCGACTAGCACGTGGTACCTGATATCTTGATACCGGCTGGTACCTATGTATTATAGACTTTGGTACCTGGGTACACGGTACCTTAGTACCGACTGGTACCTAGGTGTCACAAACTTTGGTACCTAGGTACCATGCCTAATACTTGTGGGTACCAAGTCTGATATATGACGACTGATACCTAATGGAGAAGGCCATGGCACGGACACAGAAGGTCTCCTTGGCGACATGCGGTGGAGGTAGAGTAGGGGTGACCGGCGGCGGCTGTTTACTGTCCCCGACGACAGCAATAGCCAAGGCCAGCGCGGGCGCCATGCCCAGCCGATGAGAAGACTGATGAGGGCGGTGAGCTAGAGAGGCGCGGCAAGGGAGGCAAGCTTGAGGGTGACCTCGTGTCACATCCTGATTTTTGTTTCAGGATTTATAAATTATTTAATAAAATATTATTAGAATTTATATTAAATGTTCTTAATTTACTAGTGAAGTTAAATGTGGGAAATCAAATTTCCTAAATATAAAGCATGGCTGGATTTAATTTTTATTAAATTCTCCATGGTTAATTCTACTATCTGGAATTTTCTCGGATTTTTCAGAGCTCAATTTCTATTTTTAATCATATAAAGAACATTTCAGTAATTATCCACATATTAAATTAATTATTAAATGGTCTGATTATAATCTTGTTCAGTACTTTGAGTGTCTAAGTATTTTCAGGATTTTTCTTGAAATTATTTGAGCATTGAAAGTATTTTTAACAATTCAAGGATCATTTCAGTGATTAATTTAATTGGAAAAGTAATTAAAATCCCCTTTTCCTTTTCGGGCTGAAACTGGAAAAGTTCACCTTTAGTCCTCTGCCCATTCTCCCTTCCTTTCAGCTGGCTTTATTCCTCCTCTGAAGTCCATTTCTTGTCCCTCCTTCAATCGGGCTGGAGAAAAAGAAGCCCAGTTAAAGTCTAATTCGCCTCCCTGCTACAGTGTCGTCTTCAAGCTTGGACAGAGCCCGTGCAGCCACCGAGCCGTGTGTGCCGCTGCCGATTCCTCCGCCCGATTCGCCCGTTCCTCTCGTCCGTTTCTTGAATTAGTTGAGGGGAAATATTCCTCCTATCTTCCTCTTCCTTTTGCCCCAAGGAATCATATTTTATCCCTTTGAATTCGACGCGAGGTTGGATTCGTTTTTGAGTTTATCTCTCCACCAAACCCTAGGTTTTCTCGGCGCGATTCCTTGCGTTCCAAGCCCGATCTCTCTCTCCCGTGGCTATAAATGAACCCCCAGCTCTCCTCTTTCGTTTCCAACCTCTAGCTCGAGCTCCCGTGCCCTAGCCGCCTCTCTCCGCGAGCGCCTTCTCTCTCCGTCGCCGGTAGCCGCTCCAGCCGCTCTGTTCGTCGTCGTCCATCGTCGTATTCGGTCGCCGCTGCGGCCTTTGGGTTCGAAAAAAGGAGAAGAAGACCGGCCTCCACCTCCGCGAAGCCGAAAGCCATCGGAGCACCGTCGTCACCGTGAAGCCGATCTATTATATCTTCAGCCGAGCCGCAACGCCGTTGCCGTCTTCGCTGGTCCTGGCCGAAGCCTCCATTGGCATCGTAGAAGCAAGGAGAAGCCCGTCCACCCCTCTGTTGCTGCTGCTCGTCGCCGGAACGCCGCTGTCATCGTCGACCAGTAACTCGTCGCCCTTCGGAGTTCGTCGCCGGCCGTCTCCCGTCGTCGTTCGTCGTCGTGCCGCCCCTCAGTGAGTTCCCCGCGTCGTGCTCGTCGCGTTGGTTCCCTCCGTTCTCGCCGCCGTGACCTAGATCGCCGGTGACCGTGATGTCCCGAGCCTCTCGCCGGTGATGACGTTATCGATGATGTCATGAAGCCCTTTTCCCTTCTAAAAATAAGTCTTAAAATCAGATTAATCTTAGAAAATTCATAACTAAATCATCGTAACTCGGATTCGAGTGGTTCAAGTTCCTAAATTCACTTAAAATCATGATCTACATGTTTGTTTACTTTATATGTACTGTTTATTTGGTTTTTATTAGTCTTTTTCTCCGTTTTGTGTATTAGCTTGTCGTTTCCGTCGTTGCGAAGGTTCATGAGTGCGTCGGAAGAGATTCAGAAGACTAATTGAAGACCGATTATTGCAAGGCAAGTCACACAGATCCTAAACACAATTCCTTTGAGCATGTTGATCATATATTTAAATTCTCTATTTGTTTCAACTGTGTATTTATTTTCGAATGTCACCGAGTGGTGTGAACCTATTCCTTTGTTATGGTCAATTTGCATTGATTAATCTATTCCTTGATACCTTGGGTAACAAATTGATTAGCTTGAACCTTATATATTGGTTTGGTTCAACTAAAAGCTATATATTTATAATTGCTTAGCCATGCTTAGAAACATTAGCTCGTTAATGGGATGAATCATACTACATTATTATTTATGATTATATTTAATGGTAGCTCATGATGGTTAATCGTGTTATGATAATTAAAACTTGACAATGGTGGGTTGTGAGCACATGGTTTTGAAGGTCATGCTCATGACAATTAAGGACCGGTTCACGAGCTACTATTGTGAAACATTAACCGTGCCTGTCGACAGGGGATACCCGTAGACTAGATATAGAGGGTACTGGGGTACGCTGGTACGAGGATCTACGTAATACGACATCAACGAAACAAGAGATAAAGATTATACTGGTTCAGGCCCCTTAGCAGGTAATAGCCCTAATCCAGTTGATATGGGATTATATGAAAAGAACCACATATTACAAAGGGAGTAGTAGAACTCGGCGGTACCGACGAGATCGTAGTCAAGTTGATTTGACTAGATCACCCGTCAACTTGGCTCCTGTAGTCTCCAACTTCATAGGCTATGGTCATTGTGTAAGTTCTAAGATTTGATGCCTTAAGTTCCCCCAGGGTGTCCCTTTTATATCGCAGGTCAAACGGTTTCCAAGTAGGACTCGGAGACACCGGACCCTGCACGATATAGTAACGACCCAGTCCTATACGGGTAGTAACCTTTCAATTGGCAGACTTCGTGATGGATTTCCTTAGCGTGTTCAGAGAATGTCCGTATATGCACCGATATACTGTATTGCCATATAGTATATATCAAAGGGTAGAGGGTATACCTTATCTGTAACCTTGACAGTAGCCCCCGACTTCAACTTAAATGAACTCATGTAACCAATCGCGACTTCTGATGTCGGAATTGTTGTCGTTCTCGACTGGTCGATCTCAGTGTGAGGGCCGTAGAGACAAAGAGCGTTCGACAACAACATATGAAGTCCAACGGTTATGAGTGAATTTAAATTGAAGTCCAAGAAACCGCCTCGCGCAACGGACCCAGAAATTTTCGGCGGCCACCTCTCTCTTTTCCTTGGAATTTGCACCATCGGTAGTGCGCCTATTTAAGGGAGTTTTGGGAATACATTTTGGAGTTCGGCATTTGTGAGAAACTTCCTATTTCCAAACGTTCTTTGTCTTCTCCGCTCCCACACAAACCCTAGGTTCGCCTTCTCCGGCTTCTTCTCCGGCGATCTCCCGCGGCAATGGATCTCGACAAGTCCACCTCCAGCCGTGCGTCCTTGAAGAAATTGCAAGAGGAGAGCGCTCTCCCCGGTCGCGGGACCATGGAGAGGGCAACGGGAGGTACTGAACCTGAACCCGTCCTGGGCCACATGATTGTGATTGAGGACTACATTCTTTGTGGTTTTCTTCCCCCGCCTTCCGAGTTTTTTCTTCTCATCTTGAACTTCTATGGTCTTTCTCTGCTTCATTTGAACCCCAACTCCATAGCCCTCCTTAGCATTTTTTCTCATCTCTGTGAGGCCGACATTGGGGTAGAGCTGTTTCTCGACCTCTTCCGCTTTTACTATGAGTTGCACTGGATGGAACCTAAAAAGGTGTCCGGATGTGTCGGTTTCCGACTTCGGGATGGCCTGAAGTCGCGATACATCCCCTTCCAGTGCCCCTCATCTTGCAGCAAATGGCGGGGGAGGTGGTTCTATCTTCAGATAGAAGATTCGGATCCAGTCTTCATTGTTCCTGAGGAGCAACCAGACAAGATTTCATCTTGGACCGCCAAACCCGCCTTGATCCCATCCCTCCAATCTTTCATCGATATCATTGTTGACCTCCGAGTACGGGGGTTGTCGGGGTATGAAGTCGCTGTCGACTTCATTGGTAGACGGATCCAGCCGCTCCAGGCTGGAGCCCATCCAGCCTTTGACTACTCTGGGCTGGAGGACGCGAGCCGGATTTCTTCTCGGGGTATTTTTGTTGTATTTTGGGTTCCTCTCCTTTTATGCGCATTCCTCCTGACCTGTCGAAACTTGGTTCTCGATCTGCAGGTCTGAGCGGCGCAACCGTGGAACACCGTGTTGCCCAGGTGATGATTAGCGGAATAGCGGTCCCACGATGGCAAGCAACGTCCCCACCCCTCTTTGCGAGAGGGAGGCGGCTGAGCGTGAAGCCGCGATCAACGTGAGTGTAGTCGACGGTCCTTTCCCTTTCAATACTTAGACCGCATCGTGACTTCATGTTGCGCAGGCTCTCCCCTTGACTGACGTCATCGGGCCGCTCGTGGACCATCAAACGGTGGCTTTGTTGAAGGAGGACGTTGCCCGGGAGGCGTCCGATGCGGCTGTTGCCACTGCTGCTGCAACGACCAGCGGCGGCAAGGTTCCGAAGACGGGGAGGAAATTTTCCTCCGTGCTCGGCAACCACCGGAAGATGCCCACTCCATCGGTAAGCTTCCCTGGTCATTGATTAACGTAGTCGGAGAATGTCGCTGTCACATCCTGATTTTCGTTTTAGGATTTATAAATTATTTAATAAATTATTATTAGAATTTATATTCATTAATTTACAAGTGAAGTTAAATGTGGGAAATAAAATTTCCTAAATATAAAGCATGGATGGATTTAATTTTTATTAAATTATCCATGGTTAATTATACTCTCTGGAATTTTCTCGGATTTTTCGGAGCTTAATTCCTAATTTTAATCATACAAAGAACATGTGTTTGCTGTGAAATTGACAAGCTTCACACCATTGTACCATGTCGCAATCGTCTTTGAGGGCGGTTGGCCAGAAAAATCCTTGTCGAAAGGCTTTTCCGACCAATGTACAACTGGCGGCATGTGACCCGCAGACCCCTTCGTGTATGTCGAGGAGGAGGTGCTTGCCGTCGTCGAACGAGAAGCATTTTAGAAGTACCCCGTTCGGCGCCTTCTTGTATAAATCGTTGCCGATCATACAGTAGATTTTTGCTTGACGGGTTATTTTCTCGGCTTCTACGTTGTCTTCGAGCAACTCGTCGCTGTTTATGAATTTAATGAGTGGGGTCCGCCAGTCGTCCGTGGTCTCGATGTCGGCAACGGCGCGTTCTGCCTCTGTAGCCCCCGGGCTAATGTCGGGGGTTACTGGGCTATTTTCGTCGTTTGCCTCTTTCACTGATGGTTTAGTCAGGATGTCCAGAAAGGTGCCGGGTTCGAGTGGTTCTTGTCTGGACGCACGCCGTGCTAGATCGTCCGGCTTGATGTTGTCCTTGCGATATACGTGTCGGACCTCGATCCCATCAAATCTTTTTTCCAGCTTCCTGACTTCTGCGAAATACTTGGACAGCTCAGGGCTAGAGCATTTGTAATCTTTGTGCACCTGGTTTGCGACTAGTTCGGAGTCCCCTTTCACGATCAGTCGCTTGACTCCAAGTGCAGCTGCAGCTCTCATCCCAGCGAGTAGTCCTTCGTACTCGGCTGTGTTGTTGGTCGCCTTGACGTTGAGGTGAATTGCATGCTTGAACTGATCTCCCGAAGGTGATGTCAAGATGAACCCCGCACCTGCTCCTTGGCTGTTGAGCGCGCCATCGAACGCCATTGTCCGTGTTTCGTTGTCGATCTGGCTGCCTGACCTGTTTTCAGGCATAGTCCAATCGGCTACGAAATCGGCGAGAACCTGGGAATTGATGGCTGTTCGTGGTACAAAGTGGACGTCAAACTGGCTTAGCTCGACTACCCATTTCGCAATGCGGCCGACAACGTCTTTGTTTCTCACGACCTCGCCAAGAGGGAAGGCGGAGACAACTGTGACCTTGTGGGCTTGGAAGTAGTGGCGTAGCTTTCTTGACGTCATGATTACTGCATAGAGCAGTTTTTGGATCTGTGGGTACCTTGTCTTTGCGTCGTGTAGAGCTTCGCTGATGTAATAGACTGGTCTCTGCACCTTTTCTCTTTCACAACAATGACAGTACTCACAGAGTAGGGCGTAGCGGCAATATAGAGGAACAATTCTTCATTAGGTTGGGGAGCAACAAGTACAGGGGGATTTGACAAGTAGCGCTTGAGTGCGATGAACGCCTCTTCGGCTTCCTGTGTCCATACAAATTTGTCTTGCTTTTTTAGCAGTGCGAAGAAAGGCTGTCCTCGTTCTCCTATCCTAGCGACGAACCTACTTAGCGCCGCCATGCATCCGGTTAGCTTCTGTACGTCCTTGAGCCTTGTGGGCGACTTCATGTTCTCGATTGCCTTGATCTTCTCGGGATTTGTTTCTATTCCTCTGCCAGAGACGAGGAATCCGAGCAGTTTGCCTGACGGTACCCCGAACGTGCACTTCTCAGGATTGAGCATGAGGCAATATCGTCTGAGGTTGTCGAAGGTTTCCCGTAGATCGTCAATCAATGAGTCGCCTGTCTTGGTTTTGACAACGATGTCATCGACGTAGGCCTCAACATTGTTACCCAACTGATCACTGAGCGCCCCTTGGACCGTGCGCTGGAAAGTGTTCCCTACAGTTATGAGTCCAAACGGCATTTTGACGTAGCAGAATACACCAAACGGTGTGATGAATGCTGTCTTCTCCTCATCCTCTTTTGCCATGCTAATTTGGTGGTAGCCGGAGTAAGCATCAAGGAAGCTTAACAGCTCACAACCAGCTGTTGAGTCCACCAGTTGGTCTATTCGAGGAAGAGGGAAGTGATCCTTGGGGCACGCCTTGTTGAGGTCGGTGAAGTCGACGCACATCCTCCACTTCCCGTTGGCCTTCCGCACCATGACTGGGTTGGCTAGCCACTCTGGATGGAGTACCTCTCTGATGAAACCAGCCTTAAGAAATTTATCGAGCTCTTCTCGTATGACCTGTTTCCGATCTGGTGCAAATCTCCGCAGTTTTTGCTTTACTGGCTTGGCATCGGGTCGCACCATAAGTTTGTGCTCAATCACCTCCCTGGGGACCCCCGGCATGTCGGACGGCTGCCAAGCGAATACGTCCGCATTGTCACGGAGGAAGGTGATGAGCGTGAGTTCCTATTTCTCGTTCAGTGATGCCCCGATCTTGACCGTCTTGTCGGGGTTGGCACTGGAGAGTGGGACGATTTTGATTGCGCCGTCTGGTTTCGGCGTCTTAGTTGTTTTGATCACTTTCTTGGTTGGCTCGGCTGTGGCAGGTGGGCTGGGAGTGTGCTCGACCATGTCGAGGCTCCGCTTGTCGCATTGGACCGCTAGCTTTGTGTTCCCTTGGATAGTGATTGTTCCCTCCAGCCCGGGCATCTTGAGTACCTGATACGCGTAATGAGATGCGGCCATGAACTTCGCGAGTGCCGTTCTTCCAATGATAGCGTTGTATGCTGTGTCGAACTCAGCTACATCAAATGTTATCTCCTCCGTTCGGAAGTTGCTTGCTTGGCCGAAAGTCACCGGAAGCGTAATCTTGCCCAATGGCTTGGACGAAGATTGAGGGGTGATTCCATAGAAGGGTTGATCGGTAGGTGTCAACTCGCTTCGTGGAATTCCCATTGCGTCCAAAGTGCTGGCGAAGAGAAGATTGATGGAGCTGCCACCATCAACGAGGACTCGCGCTACTTTGATATTCCGAATAGTGGGTTCGACCACGATCGGATATCGTCCTGGTATAACAGCAGCCTTGGGGTGGTCTTCATCTGAGAACTCGATCTTCTATTCAGCCCACTTCATCTTGGGTGCAGCCCCCTACCATGTCGAACATACCTCACGCTCCACTTTTTTGTATTCTTGCTTTGAAGAGTACGCTGTGGAACCTCCGAAGATGTGCGAGACATGAAGATCGGAATCTGGGTACGCGGAGTCTGAGTCCTGAGTAGTTGTCTCAGTTGCCTTCTCGACTACACGTACTCGCTTGCCCTTCTCCAAAGCCAGCTGCCTTTCCAACGATTTTTTGAAGATGAGGCACTCCTCCAGAGAATGCCTGTCTGACTTGTGTATGGGGCACCATATTCTCTTTGTATCATTGCCCTGTGGGTCTGGGTGTTTGGGCGGGCACTCGTATTCAGATGCAAAGACTTCTGCTTGAGCTTTCCTCTTCCCACTCTTGCCGCTTTTCTTCTTGCTTGATTCGGATGCGTCCTTGGCTGGCTTCTTCTCTCCTCCCGCCTTTGGTTTGTCGTTTTTGCGTCTCAGCGCGTCGTCTGCGTGGGCATATCAATCGACAACCTCGAACAACCTTCGAGTAGTAGTGTAACATCCTAAAAATCCTCAATAATAAAAATCACTAAAATTTCGAACTTTTTAAAACTTTTGCATTATGCTAGTGTTATTCGTTTCTCTATTGCAAATATATTGTTTAAATTAAATAATATAAGATAAGTAAGTTGAGATGGAAGTCAAATAATAAAATCCAGAATATGGCGAAATAAGAAAAACATAATACAAATAGAATATTAGTTATTGACATAGGGTGTAATAAATCAAATATGAGGTTATAGAAAAACAAAGGTTAGAATCTATAAAGTTGAGAATAAAGGAATATAGGTCAAGGGTAATAATATTAATCCTTAATTCTTGGGTTCAATAAATCATGAAATTAGAAGTATATGATGTGGGTAGATCTATAATGGAAATAGAGGTAGTGGGCTAAACAAAAATTCCATAAAAATTGTCATTAGAAAACCCTAATTGTGATTTTTCTCGGGTTGCTACTGTTCATTGCGCGCCAGGTGTTCGATCTGTGCCTAACCCGTCTGAACGCTCGACGCCGCCCCCTCCAACCGCTGCCTTGCCGCGCGCCCGCTGTCCTGACCCGTGCGCCGCATTAGGCGTGCCCGTGCGCCGCACCACGCCGCGCCACGCCGCGTGGGCCCGCAGCCGACCGAGCCGCCAAAAGCCCGCGCCAAAGCTGCGCCGCCACGGGTGCCCGCGTCATCCCATCCCCTCGCGCGTCGCCCTCGGGATGGAGTGATAACGGCCGCCACGACGACCCCACGTCACCCTAGGGCATAGCCCTGCGCCCCTATCCAAGCCGTTATCTCTATCCGTCGCCGTCGCTCTTGTCGCCGTCACGTCGCCTCTTGTCGCCCCCGGTTGAGACCGCTGGGTAATGCGGTGCCCCTTTGTCTAGCTAGCGATACCTCTCCTGCATACTACCGCGTAGGCAATCATGCTGCGCCTGCACATTGAACCGAAACCTGGGTGAGATCGAACCAAAGCCGAGTCATTGATTATCCTTATCCATTAAGAAATCGCCCTTCCTCTCGCTGTTATAAGCTCGACTTTATCCAAGATCAACCCCTCATCTGTTTTTCTGTTCCCCAAAGCTCTTGCTCCATCTCAGAGGAAAGAAAACGCGCCGCCGCCTGGTGTCGAACACCTGGTGGGCGGGGGCCGCACCGCCGCCGCAGGGCCTCTCAGCCGGTGTGGGTGGCAGGGTGTGTTGAGGAGGTGCCCGCGTTGCTGTTGCTGCTGTTGGAGGGAGCCGGGAGCCGCTATGCGAGGGAGGACGAGCGTCGAAGACCTGCAACCGTCGCCGACCGTCGTCTGCCCCTGTTTCAGCTGCACCACGCCGCGCGCCGTCGAACTCCGCCGTTCCGCCACTTCGTGGTAAGCCCTCGCGCCTGTAGTATTGCCTGGACACCTAGAAGCCAGCGGCCCCCTCGATTTGGGGTGTGCGCCGCCGTAACCGTGCCGACTCCGGCCGCCACCGCGCCATGGCCGAGCTCATCGTGGAGGGACCTCGTTCCAATACAACCTAGGCTAGAATTTTGCTTCTATATGCTCCATGTGGACCCTAGATGGTTGAATCGTCGTTGGTTGCGCTCACATTGGTCCTCATTGTGCCGCCGCCGATTTTGGGATCTCGGCGCCGTCGACCGCCGTCGCGCCGCGCGCCGGACGATCGCCGCGCTTCGCCGCCGCCGCCGGCGTGTCTCCGATGATACGCCACCGCTCGCCCCACCGTGCGCCGAGCCGTTCCGGCTCGGGCCGTCGCATCGTCGCACGCCGCTCCTCTGCTCCGTCGCGAGCGGAAGGAAGAAGACGACGGGGAGAAAGAAAAGAACGAGAGAGGGAGAGATTATGACATGTGGACCCCACTTCATTAGTGTACAGTAATCCTCAAACTAATGATATTATTGTGAACCTGTGACATGTAGGCCCGGATGCTTAGAAATCTAATTAAATTGGGCTTTAAGTAAATGTCTCAATGACATGTGGGTCCCACCGGAGGTTAAAGGTCCGGCTTGACCTCAGTCAACAGGGGGCCGGACCCACCTGTCAATGACACAGCAGGATTTCCTTTAAAAAAATAAAAAAACCAGAAATGAAATAGGAGGATGGCCCACATGTCAGCCACTGTGGGTGTTGGATAATGTTTCGGACAAAAAAAATAAATCATTAGGAACAGTAGCTTTTCACAATTTTCCGAATTAATTCAAGTTTGAATCTTTAAACCCTCATAACTCACTCATTTTAACTCGGAATTGAATGAAACTTGAACCTAAATTCATCTAAAATCAAGGTCTATCTGATGATACCATTTTCTCAATATGTTTTGTACTGTTTGATTTTTGGTGAATTTATTTGAATTCTAATTGAATTCAAATCCGATCTTTCGCACGTAAATTTAGATTCCGAGGGAATTGTTGAGTCGATTGAGGAGCAGGGATAGCAAGACTGCGATCAAGGCAAGTCATCACTAATCTTTGAGCATGTTGAACCTATTGCGAAAATTATGTTGATTTAAATAAAATTGCACGCTATATATACAAATATGAATGCTCTACTTGTTATATATGCCATGCCTTGATATTGATTATCCGTATGACCATTGCAAACCGTGCTAACGTGTGTACTTAGTCGATATTGAACAAATGCTTAGTCATGCTAATTAGAATCATGCATTCTCATATTTATCAAGTGCTATATGCTTGGGCAACTACCTTAGGGAAGGTAGTTGAGATGCGGCATGTGAAGGCGTGGACACCACATTGCCATGACAAGGATAACATGAATTGTGAAAAGAGAAACAAAATTAAACACTGTTTTCGACCGGGGCGGCTAGGGTACTTGGGTGGTGTCCGGAAAAGGCTAGTGCTGTCCCTGGTCAGTTAAGGATCGAGCCATGAAGTTAAGCATGAAACGACCCTCGTACAACCGTACTTCTCGTATGGGTATAGACCTAGCGGAGTATATAACCGAGCGGAGGCAGTATCCCTGCATAGTGGTTATTCTTGATGTGTGTGGGGCAGGGCCTACGGTGGGGCAGCCATTGATGGGACCGCGAGGGGCGACTGCTTACAGTGGTGTCGCTATCTGTAGGACTGCCATGTGTAAACTTAACTTAACTAAAACTTAATGCATGTGTGAGTCTTCCCTTCCTGGGAGCGCCAGAACTCCTCTCACTGCTAGAAACTTATGACGCCTAGAGTGCATGAGGATGTAAGTTCATGGAGCGGGTACTGCCAACGTGAGGTTATTGAAAGGCTTTGCCGTGGCAAGTCTCATTCGTTGGGACGTAGGCTCATGTGTTGGGCAAGTTGCGGAGTACGGGTAAAGTGTACATCCACTGCAGTGTGAGTAAACTAAATCTATTCGAATAGCCGTGCTCACGGATAATGAGCACCGGGACATGTATTATACTTGGCTAGACTCTAAATTCTTAAATTGATTGGGATGGGATATGCATGATGATTTTGTACTGGTGGATCAACTTCTCGAGAGGCGAGAAGGAGTAAACTCCAGAAAACCATTACGGCCAGTAACGGGAAGCCATCTTTGGGAAGACAATGGATGGTGAACAGAACCATTGCTGTGTAATAAATACTGGAATTAAAACTGGACTAGTCTATGCTAGATAATAGGCTTGTGAAAAGAATTGTTAAACTAGCTTTATGCAAATAAACCAATGGCCATACTTTGAATACCACTATCATATGCATTGTTGTTATGGTGGCTTGCTGAGTACGGTTGGTACTCACTCTTGCTATTGCAAAATTTAATCAGTGGATAGCAATGAAGTCGAAGAGGATCCCTATGCTTATCTTCAGGAGGATGCGGAAGATGGCGGCGCTTAGTAGGTCTTAGTTACGGTCGTTGCCTGTGGCAATGGTGTCGCCGCTGCCTTGTCTCCGCTGCTTATCTATTTTCTACTTTTGGATGTATTCCGGACCATTTGGTCCTATGTTCTAAGACTGCCTGCGGGCCTATGATGTAATAATTCGCGCTAGACAATCTTTGTATGCGCACTTGATATTTCAGCAATGTAATCGTGAGTACCAGACTACTTGATCCAGGGAAATGGTACTATTAACACGAGTGATTCCTGTTATAAAAACGGGGGTCTACAAGTAGTAATTCGCCTTGTTGCCAACTCCTGGGTAGTATAGCGATCTCTGACACCTATTTTGAAAGCGCGGATCACAGAAGCATCGGTGATATCGGGGATCGTATTTCTGCACTCATTAAAGCGCCGAACATAGTCCCTCGAAGATTCACCCTGATTCTGTGTTAACGCGTGTAAATCGTCTTCGATCGCGTGGCGCTTGTAAGTTCCCTGGAAGTTCGCGATGAATTGTTGCCACAAATCTGCCCATGAAGAGATCGAGTAAGGTGGGAGGTGCATTAGCCACGAACGCGCAGAACCTTTCAACGCCGTTGGCAAATAGTTTGCTAACGCGTTGTCGTCTGCCCCAACAGCGTATAGTACCGTGGAGTAGGCTTGGAGGAATTCCTCAGGGTCAGTACTTCCATCGTACTTCTCTATTGCTCCGGGTCAGAATCTCTCAGGTCATCGGACATCACGTAGAGAACGGTTGAAAGCTCTACACCTAGCGCTGAGGGCAGCGGGTTGTCGGCGATCGTGTGTCCTCCGTGGATGTCTATCGGATGACGAAGACGAAGATGATGATGACGATGACGACGATGGCTCACTCGGCTCCGGCATGCGATTCCGAGGGCGACGTTCAGGTTCTCGAGAATTCTATCATCGTCCACCATTGTTGTCCTGGCGCCGGTCACCATTATCATCTTCTTCATGTCGATGCCCCCGACCATTATCTTCTGGTGTCCTCTGTTCGCGGTTATCGCGATCACGGCGGTTATGACAATCACGGTGATGTTGGTCCTCGTTCGAGCGGCCTCCTCGCTCCTCGTTCTCGCGACGTCGTGAGGAAACATGATGTCGGGAACGATTCTTGTTGTCTCACGCGCGTCGTGCTTCTCGGCGGCTGTTCAGATGGTCGCGGAGATCGCCGGTGCCGCGAGGTGGAGGGGTAGCTCGTGCAGGCGACGTCCGCTGCTCCGGTGGTTCACCGTCGGCACCGCCAGCTGTCGGTCGTTCCGGTTGTGCTCTGGTAGCAGCTTCCTCGAATGCGTTACTAAGATTGGCCACCGATTCCCGTAGTCGTTCCGTCCATCGTGCGAGGTCATCGTTAAGCATGGGGTCATAGGGAGCTTCTCTCAATATTGCATTGACGGTGCCGAGAGTTGGGCTGGCGTGGCCGTCTGGTTCTCCGCCTCTACGTTAGCCTGTGCAGACGTGCTAGTTCTACCGATGGCAAACACGTCACGTGTTGTACTGGAAGATGACGAGCCATAGTCTTCAAGCAAGTGAAGGACTGATGGTTTGCGGGGATCGATATCGATTACTCCAACGAAACGATCCGAAGTCAACGTCCTTGTTCCTTGTCTGTCTCCTCGAGAGAGGTTCCTGACTGTTGGACCTTGGGAAGCGTCGTCTTCATGGCGCGGAGAAAGACCTTACAGCTTGAGAAGTCGTGATTCTTCGTCTTGTGAATAGGACAATAGACATCACGAGTTGGAGAAGTACGCTGGATTCCACGCTCTTTGTAAGCACGGATTTCGGCTTGTGCATTGAGAAAAACCCCGCAAGCTTGCAAGTTGTGCTTCCTGGACTTGTGGATAAGACACCAGGACTTGATGACCTCGGAAAGGAGAGAGGTGGCCAACCACAAGCCAGCGTGGGCAACGGCTTTACCCTTTGTATAGCATGATTCATTGCGGGGCACCAGACTGAGAAGCGGCGAGAAGTCCATGGGGGTCGCTGGGGAGTCCATGCCTCTGGTTGTAGAGGGGGTGATTATGATCCAGGAACAGTGCACTGCGGTGAGTTGTGTTGTGCAGGGGGTATTGTCACAGCCTCTATTCGGGTACTTTCTAGTATCGCGACGCATGGTAGACATGATGTTGAGGCTGTGTCTTGTGGGTACAGTAGTACACCTCTGGCCAGAGTAAAACTATTCGAATAGCCGTACCCGCGGTCATGGGCGGGTTGAGCAATGTTTTTCGTGATTAGTCTCACACCTCTCACAATAATTGTTGATGCTATAACTGGTAATAATTTGTTTAGCTCCTGGTTTGGAGTTAGATCTGTACAGCTGGATATGGTTGTTTAGAATGGTTGGGCCTAAGCAGCATGGGTGTGCTGTTCAGTGTTGATTAAAATTGATTAATTACTCTATTGTTTTACATTCTTAAATATTTGCTAAGTGTTGCTTTTGCAAATGAGTCTATATTATGCCATCCTTTGGTATCCTTGTGCACTTGCATATTTGCTGTGTGGCTTGCGGAGTATGTCATATGCTCACCTTGCAATAATCAATCAACCTCAGTTGAAGAAAAAGGATCCAGAAGGAGAAGGCGTTTGGCTTATACCCCAGTTGAGCTGCCTGTGGGAGTGGAGCTGAAGCCATCGCTAGACCGTTAATTCTGCTACTGTTTTCTTTTCTTTTGTAAGTATGTAACTTTATTATTATGATAGATTTGTATATTAAATTGTCAGTTTGTCTTCCTCAGCTGATTCCTAGACGAGGGTTTTATGCACAAATAAGTTCGGAAATTACTAGTGAATTTTTGGGCGTGACACCTCGCCAAGGCCGCGCCGTCGTCATCCTCCTCGACCACCGGAGACGACGACGACGACCCCTTCCTCCCAGCCGGCTTTGTCTCCGCCTTCTCAGCCTTCTCCCTAGATGGGGAGAGAGAGAGAGTGGATGGGAGAGGGAGACAGAGGGGAGTGAGGTGGCACGAGTGCCTGCGCCCGTCGTCGCCGCCGCTGCTGACGGCGCGGGCGTCGGTGGAGGAGGAGGATGAGGAAGCGGCGGTGGGGAGGATGACGACAACGATGACATGAAAGAGACAGGCCTCCGGCGTCACGCCGGCATGGTCGAAGCGCAAGGCGCTTACCTGGCGCCCGCGACAAGAAGGATGGCTACGGAGGCAGAGCGATCGGGTGGATAAGGATGAGAAAGTTATCCCGTCCCCACGGGATAGCGTGGACTAGTTTTTTCTGTAATATTTAACAACAATTCGGATGGTGTTTGAACGCTCGAGGGGCCCTCGAGATTTTAAAACACTTCTACTATGGCTATGTTTAGATCTAGGGATGAAAAGTTTTGGCGTGTCACATCGGATATATGGATACACATTTGAAGTATTAAACAAAAACAAATTACAGATTCCACATGTGAACTGCAAGACGAATTTATTAAGCCTAATTAATCCGTCATTAGTAAATGTTTACTGTAGCATCACATTGTCAAATCATGGAGCAATTACGCTTAAAAGATTCGTCTCGCAATTTACACGAATTAGTTTTTCTTTCTATATTTATACATTTAATACTCTATACATGTGTCCAAACATTCGATGTGACATGATAAAAAATTTTGCCATGGCATCTAAACAGGCCCTGCCTCGACTCTCATTTCTCAACGGTAATCGCTATCCATGATTCCATGTCCTAACTGTCGCCCAAAATTCATAATTAGGTGCACAGGCACAATTAAAGTGCGTACCGGGCCGGCCAATTCGTTCTGTGAAGTATAGGCGTCATGGGCCTAAATCTCGGAAGGCCCTGTACAAATTTGAGTTTCGACTGGACCACTGCCCATGTTGACCTCAACAAAAACAGCGCTCGCTGACGCACGCCGGTACGATGATAGCCCAACAAGCGAATGCTAGTATTTGGAGTTTTTTTTTTTTTTTTGAGAGCTCTCCACTTTGAGTACAACCTTGTGCGTAACGCACGGGAGAGGTAGAAATTTATTTGGGAATAAATCCCGGTGAGACGCGCGGGTTCGATCTCTGCTCGCTCACCAGCGATGCTAGCCAACCGAGCAATGCTAGTATTTAGAGTTGAGAGTAGCTCTCAACTTTTGACCATTATTTTTATTTTTATTTTTATGTGATGTGATGTGATGTCAAAGCAAATATACTTCAATATAAGATGTTAAGTAAATTACTTCCAATTACAAATCTAATGCTAAATAATGGAGTATCCCCTAGCTTTTGTGAAGGATGCAATAATATTTAACAATCATTTAGAGCACACCAGGATTGAATTTCGTTTAGATCGATCACAAAGGTTGCTGTCGATTCATGCTGTATACTATATGATGCCCCACATTTTGCTGTAAATTATATATGAATAAATATATGTTAAATATTATAGAAGCGATGGATATATATATTGTTAAATATTGTGAAAATGATATGGGAGATTATAATTTTAAAATATGTTTGCTTGTTGAGCTCTATAATATAATAAATTGTAGATGACATGTCATGCTTACATGAGTTCTAATTAACACATAATAATTGCTAGTGCGCGATGATGTGTTATATTTGTATTTAAGTTTTGGAGGTATAGTGGTTTGTAATTAATAATTATTGATGGGTGATTATATGATATGCTGTACATGTTAATAGTCGATCTATTCTGATATAGATATGTCTCACAATGCATTGCTGTTGTGGTGACGTGCATTGCGCGCTTTCTGCAGTTGTGGCAGCGTGCGGCCGGATATGCATTGGTTACAGCAGAAGACACAGTGATATTTCACCATCACTAGCTAGTTGCTTTAGTCAGGTGTTCCGGTCATAATCATGGATTAGCCCACTTGCAGTAGTTTTTGCCGATAAAATGCCTCGTGAGCCAAGGAGTCTTCCTTTTTGCCCAATGAATTCACACATGAGACACTCGAGGCTATCATGCCTGGAGCAACTTATCATTACAGTTACTTCCACAGAAAATAAACCAGGAACAGCTTTATTAGCATATATAGCTAGTTGTTTAATCGTAAAAGTCGCACGCATCAATCATAATAGAGATTTTTAAAAACACATACAACAAGTATCTGCAGTTTAACTTGCACGTGGCTGCCTGTGCCCTTTTTCGTTTTGTTAAAGACTAGAGAAATAGCCACATGTTGCAAGGGATTCCGAGAAATACATCGTAAAGCCTTAATCATCAACAAAATATTAATAAATAACAAATTTCAATACAACTACACATATAATCTTAGTGTCGAGTTT